GGAAGTCGCAACCAGCAAGCAGGTAGATGAGGACAAAAAGGCGTACCTTCTCGTCGTCGTCGGGAATCCAACCCTGGAAATCGGAGTCCGTCGCGTCGATCTCTAGCCGTAGAACTGCGACTGGCGATGTGCGTGAAGCCCTTCTCATCTGCCTACCTGTGACATGCAGCGTACTGCTCTCTCCTGCCAATTGCTCCCCCCGTGGGCACAGGTTACATGGCTCGCCGNGTCGATCTCTAGCCGTAGAACTGCGACTGGCGATGTGCGTGAAGCCCTTCTCATCTGCCTACCTGTGACATGCAGCGTACTGCTCTCTCCTGCCAATTGCTCCCCCCGTGGGCACAGGTTACATGGCTCGCCGGGAGTAGTGGTGACCCATACCTTCGCGCGCGGCTTCCGCTTTCTCTTGCTTCCGTCACTATCGGCAACTGCTCGTGGTCGCTTCCCATCTTGCCTCGCCGCCGAGAACGAACTCCCGGGGTAGTGCTCGCCGTTTTTGCACGCTCAGCCTCGGCGATCTCACGTTCCTTGCGAGCCTTTGGCTCCGCCCTCCCCACCGCCTGCTGCTCCTCGTTGCCACCTCTGCAATCTTCTGCTCCAATTGCGATTGTAGTAGGACCAAAGAACGTCTGGCCTTAACCCTCGCCGGACGCTTCTTCCTTGATCTTCGGCCCGAACCTTTCAACCGCGCGCCAGAATCTTGCGCCCGGCGCTCGCCTAGGTGTCTGTACTGGCGTTCTCGCGACGGTGCGTTCCCCCTTCGTTGCCTCTCGCAGCAGCTGGAGAGGATGGGTTCTCTGTCTACTGGCCAGCGGGCGGATGCCGCGGGGACACGGGCGGTGTGTACGCCCCCCCACCGCCGGGGGCAACAGCACAGGGGGGAACAACACACCAGCTTCTGTCCCGGTTAACCATGCAGTTGCGTGACTGCACGACATCATGAAGCCACCCCTGAAAGCGAGGTTGCGTATCGACAAACAAAGGAAACGACAATTGGTTAGTGCTTGGTCACGAATTTGTTACAGCAGCGGTGCTCTTCTTCGTCGTGCCGCCTCGAACTGTCGGTGGCAGTTTCCAGATCAACGTGTCCAAATCTAGTGTTTTTCTTTGACGTGTGGCCAGCACGAACGTGTACGCCGAATCACACATGTCACGAAACGTGGGTGGCAGTAGCAATTCACAACGGATCAAATACTGAACTTGGAAGATTGGACATCGATTTCATAGCATACTAGTGCGATAGATGCAACACACACTTAAATTGGGTGTTGCGTTGTTGGGGCCTGCTTTCGATGTGCATTACACCCGGCCACGCACGCACGTGCCTGCGGATGATTACCAACACATGCGTAGGATCCACATGGGCGTTTTGACGTTTTACCTCGTGATGCTTGAGTGTGGATTACCCCACTGAAGTAATTACTTTTGCAATAGGTGGGCATGTGAACTACGTTTAGTTGTGGCGTGCCAACCTCATATTCATGCACCCGCGGCCGTACACACGCGTGCCCGTGGTTGCTGGCCATCACGAGCGTGATCCAACATCAAGCTTGAAATTTGACCTCGTCATTCTTCTGTGTATCTATACCAAATGAAGTAATTCTTCTTGTAAAAGGTGGGTATGTGAGCTTCGTAGATAAAAGAATCGAGGTTTCGTTTCATTATGCCAACCTCATGGAAGTGCACCCACGCACCCACCGCCCTACACACGTGCTACTCCGGGTGTTGCCACCATCACGGGATCCAACAACAAATTTGAATATTAACCTCGTCATTCTTAAGTGTCTCTGTACCAAATGAAGTATTTCCTTTTGTACTAGGTGGGTACGTGAGCATAGTCGATAGAAAAAATCAAGGTTTGGTTGCATCGTGCCAAACTCATGGAAGTGCACCCACGCACCCACCGTCGTCCACACCCGTGACTACGGATGCTACCATCAACGGGATCCAACAACAAATTTGAATTTTGACCTCGTCATGCTTAGGCGTCTCNCTACTCCGGGTGTTGCCACCATCACGGGATCCAACAACAAATTTGAATATTAACCTCGTCATTCTTAAGTGTCTCTGTACCAAATGAAGTATTTCCTTTTGTACTAGGTGGGTACGTGAGCATAGTCGATAGAAAAAATCAAGGTTTGGTTGCATCGTGCCAAACTCATGGAAGTGCACCCACGCACCCACCGTCGTCCACACCCGTGACTACGGATGCTACCATCAACGGGATCCAACAACAAATTTGAATTTTGACCTCGTCATGCTTAGGCGTCTCTGGACCAAATGAAGGCATTCTTTTTGCAATAGATGATTATGTATGCTGAGTACGTGGAACAACCCTAATATGACTGTATTAAGCCGGAGTCATGAAGAGACTGGGGTGTTACTGCTGTTGGGTACGTAATGTCGGTGGCTGTCTTCTGGTGGTACGCTCAGAGTATATTCCGGATATACACTGCTACGCTGCGTAACTGGTTCAAAGAGTCTCGCCGACTTCTAGTGTATGAGTAACCCAGCGTACCTGCGTCGGAGATTGGACGCCTACGCTCCTGCTTCGCCCTTTGTCGACGTTGATGTACGGTGACTGCGCGGGTCGCGGGTCTCGCCGCTTGCTTGGCAGGGTTTCCAGGGCGGGGACACGTTTCCGTTGGAGGCCTTGTTTTCCATATATTTTCTTTCTTTTTTTGCTGTGCGTAGCACGTTGGACACGTCATCTCGGAGCAAAAATCATGCGCAACAATCATTTGTGAGCTTACAGATTTGCTCAACGTCAACCCCTACTTGCCCCCCCCCCCACTTCCGCTCCGTTACCAGCTCATCTTGAGAGAGAGGGTGAGATGTGTGGAAAAGAGGCGCCCCCGACACGAGAACACAGGATGACAACCCAACACAGGATACACACGCACGCTACTCTTTTATATGATGCCCCCCCCCCCTAGCAACAAACACGCCGCGTGTTCCCTGAACCAGAGTCGAGCTCACGTCATGTCAACTACTGCTGTAGTCTGGCCTTGCGAGTACCATCACGCTTGAGCATCACCCACAGCTCTCGGCATACCGGCCGACTCGTTGTAGTTTTCTAGTCTTTAGGGTAAAGGCTGCCGTAGGCGCTTGTGCGGGCAAGCGGAAGCATGCCGACGCGCGTGCGAACTACATCATGCATGAGCCTCGGCTCTCACGCACTGCTGCTGCTGAGCCTCCTGCTGGGTTTGGTTTCCGCTTCCGCTGCTGCTGATGGAGCCGCGTCGACGACCCCGCCCGCCGCCACCGCTAACCCTGCCTTCGTCCCGCCTGCCGCCACCGTGCGCAGCTGGTTCGGTAGTGTCCCCAACACAAGACCTTCAGCAGCTACGGAATCACCCGTCTCCGCGCGTCCTGCTCCGCCTGCTGCCGCCTATTCCCCGGCCTACAAGCTTGGCCCGGCGAGCACGTGGGTTCCTACTACTAGGGCTGCTTCCAGCGCGATTTCTGCGAGGAGGAGTGGAATGGCTATGGAGGCCGCGGCGGGCTTGTCGCCAGCTCCTAAGATCATCATTGCGGGAGCCCCTGCGTCCGGCAAGGGCACCCAGTGCAGCATGATCAAAGAGCGCTACGGGGTCGTCCACTTGTCGACAGGTGGGGGCTAGTCTACAATCTACGTTGTACCGATTGCGGACGAACTGCTGTTGTCTACGAAAGAATGCTCCTCCAACGCTCCCTCGTTTTTTGCGTCTGCGGTACTTTTGACTGGTTGTTCTGCTGATTGTACGACGTGCTGTACTTCGATAGGAGCTGCGGGCGTTTTGTTTGTTGTTTATCTACAGCAGCAGTCTATATAGAACGAAGAGTCAACGGCAGCCTCACCTACAGCTGAACAAGCTCTCTGTCTAGCTGTCTCTGGTTTCCATCAACTCAACGTAATTCCGTTGGGAGTGTTGTTTGTAAGTGACATCCTCTCTCTCTTCACCCTCTACTGCTTAAGGTGATATGCTGAGGGAGGCGGTCAAAAACCAGACTCCTGTGGGCTTGGAAGCCAAGGGCTACATGGACGAGGTGAGTGGGCATAGCACTAATCTACAGCAGTTGTCTCCCCACCTGCCCTCTTATTCTAAGACCGTGCATCGAAGTGTTGACGAATGTGTGATTCATATATACGTCGCACCGGACTTAACAGAGGTCCCTCCGACGATAGTTCCGGCTGCATGATGTCAAGGCTGCACACACACACCCCAAGCGCAGGACAATTGGAAGATTATGACATTCGGAGTTCTGCGACGGTTGTTTTTCTTTGTAGGGTACAGACGACCCCGAACCACAGCCGCAACAGGCGCAATTGACGCACCGTCACCCCTGCCTCCACGGCTCTCTGTAGGTATTTCATGAGAATGCCTGTTGCAGGAGGTTTTTTGTTGAGTTATCGTAACATCGATTCGCTGGTGTTGCAGGTTTTGCCGTTTCCACCATGTAGCGCCCTGGACAAGGCCGAATCTGAGCGGCCAGTCCAGATTTCCTGACGTGGATGAACACGCTAAATGGATCTGTGTATGTGTCTGCGTACGTGGCCGTACCAAGCGTTACATTGTCGGATCCGGCGAAGCCTTTTCGTCGAGTACGAACGTACGGTCTTTTTGTTGTCTAACGTGCGTACATTGGCGCGTTTCGCGCAGGGAAAGCTCGTGCCGGATGAGGTGATCATCGGCATCGTCAAGGACCGCCTCAACGAGGACGACTGCAAGACGCAGGGATGGCTGCTTGACGGCTTCCCCCGAACTCGCGCCCAGGTAGGTACTAGCGGTACATTTTAACCCGAAACATTAGTAGTCAATTTGGGGAGTTCGGTTAAAAGCAGTAAAAGTATCACAGCCCCGTGGGAGTTAGTCCGTGCGGCAATGTCTTCGCCGTTTCGTCGTCAGTGGTTGTTAGCGGTAGGGAGGGCACCACCAGGCAGCCACGCGCAAGTGTTCGGCACAAGTCGCATCTAAAAAAGTTTTCCCTTGTAACACATGCACACCACGCGCACGAACGACCCTCCTCCCGCATTCTGGAAGAACCTATTTTCGTCGCCCCTGCCGTAGGAAACTACGAGGGTTTTGGCTGCAACTGCGCTGGTGTGCAAACCGCCCTCTACTCTTTTGTTGTATTCGCCGTTTTGGCAACGGTGTTTGTTGCCGGGTTCAATGCGGAGCAATCATACAAAAGCGATACGGAAGAGGCGAATGGCTTATGCGATTTCCGTCTTCACCAGTTGGGTTCGCCCGAGCGGTTTCGGAGGGAGGTTTTAGCCGCACACACGTCGTCGTTGCTCGGTCCTTTGAGAACATCATGCCCCGAGTATTTTTGTATTCATCCATGTTGTATTCAAACTCGAGCACACACTTAACTTGTTTCGTTTTCTGTTGCCCCTGGTGCTGCTCTTCCCGTTGTTACTGCGGCTGCTTCGGAAACACCAGGCGGACGCGTTGGCCGCAGAGGGCATCCAGGCTAACTCCTTCTTGCTCCTCAACGTGCCCGACGAGATGCTCATCCGCAGGGTCGTCGGCCGCCGCCTCGACCCCGACACGGGGGACATCTACCACGTGGACTTCAACCCTCCCCCGGCTGAAATCGTAGACAGGTCGGTATTGAATCTCGCATTGCCACGTGGTATACCGTTGCCTTGCACACATAGAGTTATTATGTGTTCAATTATACTGTGCCGGAGTCGGTTTTGAAATTTACCGGCAATATCTCTGAATTCATCCTTGGGTGGGTTATGATGGTTTCGACACCGGTGCGACTCTCGTTGGTGGATTCTCCTCAACCTTTTTTGTCATGGAGTAGGGCGTTTCGTGCTGCGTGTGGCCGCGGGGGCAACCTGCGAGTTGCCAACCGAATCTAGCCCAACGGGTCGATCCGACGAAAACCCACGCAACTTTTGGGATTCGCAATGTTTCAGGCTGATCCAACGCGCGGACGACACCGCAGAGAAGGCGCAGGTCCGACTAGTCCAGTACCACAGCAACATCGCGGCCATCAGGGAGTGCTACGAGGACATCACCTGCAGCCTGGACGGCTCGGTGGGCAAGGAGGAGGTACGAGTATGGCAAGGTTAGCGTCAAGGTTGATACAAGAAGAGAGCAAAGAGATAGAAAGAGAGAGCGCGGGGAAGGGGGGGCGGGTGCATCGGTGGGGGGCTGGGGGGGTGGCGGAAACCGAAACAGATGATCGTGCAGTCAATCGATGAAGATGGACATACAATTTTCGTTCGAATACCATGCGGAACGTTGTTGGGTAGGGAAGTTTTGCTGCCATACAGCTTGAACGACTCAGTCAGAAACGTCGAGGGGACCATGGAAAGACTTTGCTCAACCGGCGGTGCACGGAACTGCCGGTAAAATCGTCTAAAACCGTCTGCAGTGCCTTCGCACGGGTGGAAGTCTGCAGCGGTGTTCGTTTTATTCGATGCTTTTTCTGTTTTTTGCCGCGGTAGAGAGAAAACCGTTCAGTAAAATCACTTCGACGCGGTGCTGCACGACCACGCTCAGAGCACGTCGATTGGCGTTATACGGCTGAAGGGTCGACCCCGCATACAGTGACGGCGTTGCAGCAGTGCTTGACGTATGAATAGTCTGGCGCCGCTTCCGCCCCTCTCTCATTCGTATCTCGATGCCTCGGTCTCACTGCCGCTGTATGTGTGTTTTCTTTTTGTTCTGAGCGCACCTGTGGTGCTCATACCAGTGCTGCTGAACATGCTTTTTCTTAACCTGTTTTTGTGATTGTTGTGTCGCTCCTCGCCGCTCGTTGAATCGAACCAGGTGTTCCTGGCCATCACGAGCGAGCTAGACTCGACGTTGGCGGCGGCCGCGGCCATCCGCGGCGGCGGAGAGGGGGGGAGAGTCGTGGAGGAGGCCACGGAGCCCATCGAGGGCATGAAGCCGGGCACTTCGGGTCTGCGCAAGAAGGTAGGGTTTTTCGTTCCGTGTGTGTGGGTGCTTGTAGCTTCCTGCGTCGTTGAAAAGCATGGGTGGGTCATTATTATATTATATTACTATAGCGAACTCCGGGCAGGTTTGGTGGATCACAGGCGAAAGGTTTGGTCGAAGCTCGCTCCTGCAGGCGTTCGGGGGTTTTGATTTCCTCGAAATATTTCCTGTTCCTTCCGTTGGGAAACGGGGCTAAATTTGCGTGTGCACTTGGTGTTTAGCTCAACCGTAAACAATGGTGTCATTCCATAAAAGGCGGACGGTTTGATAAACAACGCTGCTGTTAATGCAGCAAAGGACAAGCCACAGTAGGACAAGCATTGAGAATCGAACGTGGGTGCATGGCGTGGTCGGCTAAACCCAGGTGGTGTGAGTTGCCTATCTAGGCTGTTACCCCAACCGGCCGGAGCACACGTACTTATCAAGGCGCCCCCGACGAAGAGTGACACCAAACTCTGTACCCAAACATGAACGACACATGCCTGTGTTCTTACTACACGGTGCTTGTCAACGTTCTGAACCTACCACTGCCGGACAAAACTCATTAACCCACATGCGCTGGCTCAACACCAGCTTCTTGTAGATCGTCCTCTGATGTGGCTCCTGAGCCGTTGTAGTTCGCCCCGAGGTACATAGCAGCTGCCGCTTTGGGAGAGTGGCGACACGAAGAAGGGAAGGAGAGGGGGGGGGTGTGTACTCATAGTCGTGCATGCCGTAGTCGTTAGACCATTGACCTCGCATCCCTACAAAGCCGGGACGGAGCACGCCGGGTTCTCACCGGACCAGGCTCTCACATCACCAAGNCGCAGAGTGATGGTTCTCGACCCCGCTCAACATGATCTACTCGACCACCAGTATGGTTACCGCCAAAAAAATAACAGAGGTAAAAAAAGAAAAAAATCGGTAGCCTGGTTGCCGAGTTCACGAAGTGAATTGACTTGTTTTACAACGNCAATCCCCCTTGCGCAGAGTGATGGTTCTCGACCCCGCTCAACATGATCTACTCGACCACCAGTATGGTTACCGCCAAAAAAATAACAGAGGTAAAAAAAGAAAAAAATCGGTAGCCTGGTTGCCGAGTTCACGAAGTGAATTGACTTGTTTTACAACGTCGTTGCCAAACGACGAAAACCCAACCCCGATGGCAAACACCGGGGGGGACGTGGGGGAGAGGGGGGAGGGCATTGTCATGGTCCGGAACCCCTTCGATTTCATCTGTACGGCAGAGACGGTCCCGCCCGCTGACGGTGCGCAGCTTGCTTGCGTTCCGTCAGAGCACCTCTGGCACGTACAGCGGTAGCACGGGGACAGAAAACGCGGCCAATCGGTTGGGTTTCCTTGGGCCCCTCGGTGGGTCTTGTCCTTGGCATTTTGTGTCGTCTCGATCGATCGATCGGTCGGAGAACGAGCGACGCGGTCGCACGCTGTTCGGTCCGTCGCGTCCCCCATGATGTTGGTCGCCCGCCGGCCTCGGCATGTCAGGTTTAGTCCTTCTGGTCCCTTCGGCTTGAGAAAGGAGGCTGTGTAGGCTGAGCCAAGGAAGGTCGGCCGGGCAGGTTCGAGAGGTGCCGTACCGTTCGTTCGGCCATGCGGTAGGGTCGGGTCGGCCGGGCGATACATCTTTGCTCGGTCAGATTCAGGCCAGGCCTCCACTGCGGTGGTGGCTCCTTTCGGTGCGCGGTCAGTTTGTTCCTTTCGGTCATCCGTTCCATCGACCGGTCCCGTCCGTGGGGCCCCCACAAGCGAAGCTACGACCCCGCCCCCCCCGCCGAAAGCGCAAGACAAGAAAGTTGGAGAGAGACAGACAGACAGACAGACAGACAGACAGAGTGCGAGAGAGAGAGAAGATAAGGGCCGTTGTGCGTGCGCACGCGGGCAGCTGCTGACCCCTGTCCCCGTTCCGCCGCTTCCGCCCCCTCCCTCTCTCTCTCTCTTCTTGCTTCGTCGCCGTCGCCGCTGTTCTCTTGTCTCCTGCCCTTCCTTCCCTCCCTCCTTCCTTCCTCCATGTGGTCCGGGGGGCATTACGTCCGTGTGGCGCGCTTCTACAGGACTAGGATCAGGATAAGTTTGCCGTGCTACCGGTCTCCTACGGTAGACGATCAAGAGGGCGTTCAACCCCCGTCTACCGTCAATTGCCATCCTTACGAGATGAAAAACCGCCGCGGAGAGGGGGCCGGCGGGCGGGAGGGCTAGGATTGGGGGGGGGATTAGGCAGCAGGTAGATGGGCAGGCGAGAAAAACTCAAGAAAGTGGTATGATGCATACGATTCTGGGACGTACGTGAGTCCTGTGCTAGCGGAGGGGTTCACCAGGCGGCAACTTGAGCGTTGTGGGGGTTTTTTGTATTTTGTACTTTTTCGAATTTTGTGGGAAACGGCGTGGCCGGTGCCGTCTTCTAATAAGTTTTATTTCTGGTTTCGTCTTGTGTGTGTACGGCAATTCTAAACACCGAGTGGCGAGGGGCCCGATTGCCGTGGTATGCATGGGATAAGCGACCCGCCGCTGCTGGTGTTCACCTCGTTTTGTGGCTGCTTTGATATGTTGGTGTTGTGCCTTACACGGAGAACTAGTAGTAGAGACGGCTCCCGAATTTTAGACACTTGTACACAGTTTTTCCGTAGAGAGATGAGGGGTATGCAAGCAATGCAGCAGTAGTTGAGCTCCGAAGCTCTGTTAGTATTTTGTATTTGCTTTTCTCTGGTGTTTCTAGAAAATGTACGCTATTCTTACTGTTTTTCCCGATTTACCGATCTCCAAAGGCCATTGGGTATGGCTTTTGCTCCTGCTGTGCCATTCTAATCCAGATCCCCGACGGGGAGCAACGCACGTTACGGCACTCGTAAAACCGACGGGGTTCTTTGTTCTTTGGATGACGGAAAGACAGAACACACGGATAAGCACGTCACACAGATGGGAGACCCATCCATATTTGATCACTACTCTCTGAAAAATCTTGTGGTACACGTGGTGTCTGGCTGGTTGGGTTGCGCACCGAGCTCTCGAACGGGCTGTCTCGCTGATCAGGGTTCCGTGTTGCTGCGAGGTCGTCACCCTTCCAGGACACACACTCGAGCGCGCTCTCTTTCTCTCTCTTTCTCTCTGCTTATAACTGTCCAACTCTCTGTCTCTCTCTCAACAACACGCCATGCCACCTAAACTTTTCTTCCTAGTATGCATACACCATTTTGCCGACTTCGGGTCCCTCTCTCCTCTGTCGGCGCCCAGTTGGGGCCTCCGGAGCGAAAATCCGTGCGACGCACACACTCGTCGCAGACACAGTAACGGCGTTTCCGCTCGACGTACCTAGCCGGAATGCCCAAGCATTAAGGGTTCCGCGGGTCGTCAGAGGTAAATTCACACCATGCGCTCCTATCTTTCCTTCCAAGCATCGCTGGCGCCAGTAGAAACGAAGTATGCTTGTTTTTCACTTGCTGAGATATCTTGGCACGTCACTGCGGCTCCCCCGCGGCACCCCCGCGGCTCCCAGACACGCATTGTACGATGGGGTATTTTTTTATGCCGCGTCTGGAGGCTCCCGACCTATATAATTGCAAGTTCGGCAAACCAAGAGACCCCTGGCAAACTCTATGTTGGTGGTTAGGCCATCAGACAACGAGGTGAGATAAGGGAGAGAGAGAGGACGCCCTGTTGCGTCTACATGCCCAGTTGATGGTAAGCAAACGCGCACATAGTGCACCCTCACACAAGGGATTTCCAACGGAGCCCTGTGCCTTCGTCTTTGTACCTCCTGCGTTCCGATCAACATATGAGTGCATCAACGTCCGGGGTAAGCCACGGGGGAGCCGAACGGGGATGAACTCTGGGTTCACACTCACTTTTAATATCCTTGCTCACTTCAACCTTAGCCCCCCGACTTGACGTAGTCCATCCTCCCTCTCCCTCACGCTCTCCCTCCACCAATGCCCGCCTCTTGGGATCTTGTTTCTATTATCTTCTCGTCTTCTCTTCGCATCTTCGTCCACCACGCGTGTGGTGTGGGGTGGTCTTTCTTGTAATAGTCTATTAGTCTGGTCTGTCACACTAGTTCGACGACCGTGGGAGGGTACAATTTCTACCATCTGACATTCTTCGAGATATATATCTAGGCGTGCTGACGCCCTTACACAAGGGGTTTTCAGAGTCTGTTGCGACTAAACAACAAAGAAACGCACTTAATGAATTTTTCTGCCGCGCGGTGGGGTTGTGAGGGAAAAATAGAAGCGGGCTACACGTGAGGTCGGAGGCTACCCACCCCCTTGGGTTTTTTATCAATCCTTTGGGTTGTTCCGAGTTGGTCGGGTAGTTGACACGCGCACACCAGGCAACCCACAACCCCTACCTTCCCCGGCATGCGTGCAAGACGGCGAATGCTGCAGTCGTGCCCAAGAGGTAGACTAGTCTGGTGCGCGGATTAAGAAACAAGCCGTAAAACCCGTACTCACGTTTAAGTTCCTGTGATGACATACAGACACCCAAAGTGACGAAAAACAAGCGGTATCGAACCTCCGTCCGTCTATTTGACTCGCCCTCCTCCCCGTCGTCTTGGCTCGGGCGGCTGGAGAGTGGCGCTATTGGTGATCGCAACAGTCGTGCCTTCTTTCTTTTTCTTTTTGTTCGCACACGAGGAGAAGGAAGGCGAGGGGGGAGCTGGCACGAAACGCAGGGGCGTTCATCTCGGCGGACCGCCGCGCAATGCCATGCATACCCTCATAATTTGTTGTGTGTTTTTCGCAGCTTGTGAAACCTCCATCCGCCCGCCCTCTCGCGTGCTGCGGTTTTGCTTGTGCTTTTTGGCATCTGCGTGCGTGTGGCAGGCGCTGCCGCTACAATTAATATTGTGTTACCAAACGCGTCTGCACCTGTCATTTTTTTTCTTGGTTAAATCGAGGGAGGGATTAGCCCGTCCCGGGCAGCAGGCACCCATCTGCTGTACTAGACAGTGCTCTTACTGGTACTAGACTATCTTGTCAATTTTGCTTTCTTGGAATCGAACAGCCGCGTATCGTTGTCTCACACTCACGCCACGTGGCTCGTCAAGTCTCGCCTCGCTTTCGACGTGTCCATTTTTCAGTCAGGTAGAACCAGCGTCAGCGGCAGCATGCCGTGCGATCGCTCGTTTTTTCACCCACCTCATCTGCCTGCTGCCCGTCTGTTAATAAGTTGTCGGCTACTGACTGCTGTCTCTTGTTTTGCTAGGTGGCGGTGTGGAGAGAAGGGTGCTACCTCAACAACTTCGTCCAGGGAGTGCTGGACACCTTCCCGCAGGAGGAGCTCGAGGGCAGTACCATCATCGTCTCCGGAGATGGGAGGTACGAAACCGCACGCATGTCCAAAACACACGCCAGCATGCGCACAGCAACTCTGTGCATGAAACGCAGGGAGAAATCCGTGCATTGCCCCCAAGCACGTGAACACATACACGAATATAGCCAATTCCGTACATGAAAGAACGCAGATATTGTATTCCATACTTGGAGTTTGTTTAACGACTCCAGTGCTCGCTGTTGTCGCAATTCTAAGTGGTGCGACAACCTGCAGAATACTCGTGCGCTTTCCTCCTCCTTCTACAGATTCTACAACCCACCCGCCATCCAAACCATCATTCGAATGGCGGCCGCGAACGGAGTGGGTCGGGTGTGGGTCGGCAAGGGGGGGCTAATGTCCACGCCGGCTGTATCGGCGGTGCTCCGGGAGAAGGAGGGCGGCGCTGCCTACGCGGGACTCGTGCTGACCGCTAGGTGGGGAAATTAAATTTCAGTAGCAAGAATAGTACCTAAACAGCGGTACTCAGCGGTTACCAACAGCAGGGCGTGTTTTGCCCTGAGTCTGCTTGGCGTGTAAGGGCACGTGTTTTTTTGCGCTCTTCTCTCGAGCTGACTCCTGAACCCCCCCGTCTTCCCACCCACGCTTGCATTCGCATCTTGGCAATGTTGGGTCGAGTGTGCCCGTGCGCTCATCGTCGCACAATGAATGGTGTAGTCGTCACACCATGTATCTTGTACACCTTATCATCGACAGTTCCCACAATAGTTGGTCGAGGAAATTTAGTTCATTTTGTTTCTCGTCGTTCGGTGTATTGCGATTGTCCGTTCTGGTTGATTTCTGAAGTGTTTGTTGCTTGGCGCCGGAACGTGCTGGCGAGTGCCAACCGCACATTTGTTAGTCACTCTCGATTGTCGGCGCGGTACACATTTATGCTGTACAAGCGGAGCTCTCGACTTACCACGATCGAGTATTCTTCCATCCGGTAAACCCGAAAGTGGAAAGCGGTCTGACCCTTACCAGCGAACGTCGACACGAAATACGCAACTACGATAGGGGGTAAAATGTAATGAGCAAGACGATCAGTACCACCCATTCCCGATCGAAACAGCCTCTCCGGTCGCCGTCACCGGCACCATCATCATCACCGTTGTTCCCCCCCCTGCTCACCGGAAGGACTGGCGGGAACAATTTGTCCATCGGTGATCTGTGCTGTGGGAACAATTCACCGCCCTCTCGAGGACTCGTGGTCAATGTTCTTGCCACCAAGGCATGCAAAGCATAGGAGTACCCCCCCCCCCCCCCCCCCCCCCCCCCCCCCCCCCCCCCCC